TCTCTGAATAAATAAACATGTATTTTTTTTTACATATTTGGATTCTTAATCTTCAAAATATAGGGCGTAACCACAATCTGGGAAATGTGGTCCCCATAGTTTGAGCAGGAGAGCGATTCAAAGTTTGGACCCCTTAATGTTAATTTCACTTTTTGCGTTTTTAGTCATATTTTGAAAGCTAATTAAGCAATTCAAAAAAAAAATTACACCCACTCATAAAACTCCTTTACCCAAAGATAATTTCATGAAAAAAATAATTTTTAATAATTAATTATTATTTTTATTAATTAATTAAATTGAGAATGAAAAATTTTTGAATTATAAGGTATGAATTTTTTTATACCACATTAATCTACATATTTGAAAAATCTAAAGTTTCAACTGTTTTTATTTATTAGGAGCTGAAAAAAATTAAAATTAATTATTTTTAAAAAAATAATTTGGCGACAATAAAGAAATAATTAAATGGGGAGATTAATATTAAAATGCGATTAACTTGTTAGGAACTTGACTTCACGCGCTTAGCGTAAAATTTCATTCATATCTTTTTCGCTAATAATCGTTTGCTAATCTTTTTATTTTTATTTCTTTCAAACTATAAAATACGATGCTACTTTTTTAGTCGTTTAATAATTTATTTGCAATTTAGTAAAGATATTTCAATACAACATTTTGAATAAAAAAACACTTTATTCAACGAATGTCTAGTTTTATAAAAGCGTGCTTCTGATAGAATATGATTATACACCAGATTGTGCTTATGTAATGTGATTATTTCTTATTTTTTTATTTTGTTTTTCAATAACTGATACAATTTCAAAAATATGTATACATATGCATAGATTTGGAATAATATATTTATCATTTTCTTGAATATATATTTTATAAATATTAATAAAAATACGTAGTCAACATTTTTAAGCATCTCTCACTTGATATTGAACTTCTTAAATTTCTCATCATCTTATAGGATAAACTAACCAATGAAGGAACACTTAAGCTTAGCTTGAATTTAAAAAAAAAATCATAAAAATTTCAAAATTTGTAATTTCAGCTAAATGATGGTGTCGACATATTTGTCATTAAATACAAATTATGTAAAAAAAAATTGATAGCTTACATAATATTGTTTTAAGCTTTTGATGGTTTAAATAATAAGTAGTAGGATAACCAAGTGAAGGAACAGTTCTTACCAGTAAATAAACACTAAATTTTCCAGTGAATGAACACTTAATTTTGAGAATGTTTGATGCTCGTTAGGAATCCATAGGCCACACAAATGTCTAAAAACAAGATTTTTCTTGCAATTACAACATATAACCACAGTTAACGTGGAAAATGTTACTTTTTTTCAGTCATGAAAAGGAAAGAAAAATATGTTTGAATATATAATTTAAAAAAAAAATTTTCATTTTTTTTCTCACAGTTTAATAGTCCGTTCTAAATTATGAATGTTTATCATTGTGTAATCCGATGATGTTTTTATTATTATTATAATCTGATCACTTTTTTATTTACTCTTTTCCCCATATTTTTTTAAGCTTTTTTTTTTTAAATCTTTTTAAGTATTTTTTTTCTCTTCGTCATACTTTCTGCTTTAACTTTTTTTTCAGCTCTTTCAATCTCTTTAAAATTTCGTTCTTTTTCTGAAATTAATGCAAAAAAGCAATTTTTTTCTTTTGATTTAACCTTCTTCTTTTTTCCAAATTTTTGGCCAATGTAAATGTATCTTCGAAATTTCTTTTGATTTTCCAGTACCATTTCTAGAATTCCTCACTGGATAATAAATGAGAAAAAGGAGTTTCGAAGTTTGAGTAGAATCCATCTCTCATTGACTCATATCTAGAGTGTCTTCAGCAGTATTTACCATTTACTTATGGAACCAATTGTTTTTGCAACTAACAATGCCTCAAGAGGACTTATCTCAAAATCAATTTTCACGATACTTTCATTATCAATGTTAGCTGTATCAGCTTCAGTGCCAAAATTTGATTAACCAAATGTTCTTTTTGAAATAAATTCTTCAATATTGAGAAAAGCACAGGCTATTGGATATTTGGGAGATTAAACTTTTCTGTCAAAGTTCCTTTAAAAATTTGCAACATAACTTGAGAGATTTCCTTCTCAAGCTTCTGAAGAAATGGTGCATCGTTACTGTCGAAGCATGTGTTTTGTTGATAAGCTGTCTTGCTCATTAACTTTTGGTGTCTGTTTCGCATGTATTTGTTAAAGTCAACGTTTTCTACTTCGAATGGAAATATATCGCATTTCATAAGAGCATTTTAACTTCATCAGTTGATGCCTCAAAATCTTATTTAAAAACGGGTGTAAAATTTTCTCGACATACTTTTTTACAATTCTTTTGTTTTCAAGATCTAACGTGAGATTTCCGTGAATTAGGTAGAAAACTAAACCAGAAAATTTGTTTTGATGAACAAAACTTGCTCAGTTTTAAATTGATATGAGATTTATACCTATCCAGAACAAGCAAAATAGGGAATTTGATAGCATTTTTAATTAGCCATGGGTAGAAACATTTACAATATATTTGTAAAATGTAGCTGCGGTCATCGTTTTATTTCATGAATCGCTTTTTCCAATNGTCAAGTTTGGTGTTATGAGACAGGTTTCTGAAAATATTAAACAAGTTTGTTTTTATTTATTAAATGAAGATGTATTTTTGAAATAGCTGGCTTTACAAAAAATTTTTTTTATCGCATTTTAATTTTGCGATTGCAGTGTCATCTGTGAACCAAACTTTAAACACCTTCAAATCGAATTAAAGTACTTTTTCTGGAAAATCCAAATCTGAAATGAAAAATTGAAGATTTAAAAATTTGAAGTTGAACCACGCCCGACTCTCCAGAAATGATTTTGGGGGTCAAGTTTGATATCATTTTATGTATTTTCTGAAAATTTCTCTGTTTTTTTAGGTTTTTAATATAATACAATTTTTTCGCTGTAATTGATCGTTTTCCCCCTTTTTGAACTCCCAGTATATGTAAATTCTATCGTGTAGAAAAGTATAATTTTGAATAACTTCAGTTATATTTCAGTTTTCATATACTAAGATGCATTTATATACGAAGACCACACTTTCTTTTTCTTCAGTGATACGACAGTCACAAGTGGGCCCTGTCCTACCTCAGAATTCCATATCATGCTGTCTTGTTCCAGATTAGGGTTTTCCAGTTTGTTATTCTAATATTTTAAGGTCTTTTTCCAGACAGTCTTACTCTTTTTCGTATACTAGATGGTTTGGACAAGAATATCTCAGTGTCTCGACTCGCTCAAATCTTATTAGGTGTTCTGCCTAT